AATTAATCTCTCCAATCAATGCGCAAAAACTTGTAAAGAAAAAGTCGAAAAACAATTTATTAGCACATATTTAAGAAGAGTTTATTATTGGATCTTACGGACCATTCTGGCACGGTGAGAAGCCACAACCATTTCCGGTTTTTGCCTAGAATCAACAGCTTTTCAATGCAGTTGTCAACGGGCAGTTTTTCTCTTTCTTTCTCTTTTCAAGAACTTACCGTGATCACTTCACAGAGAGTCGCACAAACCACCCAAGTTGGTAGCATGTTTTCCCATTGTCCCAGCGGATACGTGCCACCAGCTGGATCTGTGGACGCAATGTAGAACTGAAAGAAAGATTTTGATCAGAGCAGAGCAAATACAAAACTTGGACCTATTGTTTGCCCGCAACCCTTCACCAATAAGTTCAAATCAATGCAAGTTCTTTTATATTTTAAGAGCTTATTTTTATGTTCTACATTCACGTTTACAAATTCTTAGTTAGTCACAGTTTTATGCGTGCTCTCAATTCGGATCTAACAATACCGTTGCACTGCTGGCTGCATCTGTTTCTGCTGGACTGTTTCCGTTTGGCTCTCCTGGCGCCCAGTTTCTGAAAACGCCGGATAAAAACACGGAAAATGTACAAAACCGATAAGTCGAGTTGGCACCATTTGACCAGGCAATCCCACTCGTCGTTGTCACATTGTTAATCCCCAATAACATTTGCTAAAGCTCAAAGTTAAAAAGAAATTTTCAGGACAACTCACACTATAGAAGAAATTTCCAAACGTTGAACATTGAGTCTTCAAATCAGCTGGTACAAGATCTAAGACCTATTTTGAAAACAATCACCACTCAATCACTAACTGGCAACTCCTGTATTCTCCGAATCACATCGAATCGTGCCCAAGTCAGCATTGGGATTCAATGCCTGACATTTGGCTCTAGCTCCACCAATGTAAGAGTCATTGATGAAGATTGCTTGATAACACGATCCACCGACATCAATGAAGCCACCACCAACAGCTGCACAATCGGCATAGGTTGTGGTGGGTACCTGGAGATGTTGATCCTTTTGCTTTAAAATAGGCTAGAACCATTCTTGAGAAGCTACTTAAGCAACCTCATTTATTGTGTCAAACATAAAAACCTAATTGCCTATGTTCTCAACGTTTACCGAAGTTGTGACACATGGTAGCGCTGGTGTCGTTGTGGTCGTAGTTGTGGTTGTTGTCGATGTCGTCGTTTTCTTTGTCGTTGTCGTTTTCTTTGTCGTTGTCGTTGTGGTCGGCTTCTTCGTTGTCTTCGTTGTGGGCTTTGTGGTAGCCTTTTTGGTTGTTGTCTTAAATAGTTCATTAGCTACAAAATAGTGTAGGTTAGTTTAATGGGGAAAAGTAAACAGTGTACTTGCAAGTTGTAAGTATGTGTAACCATAGAACTCGGATGCTTTCAAATGTTTCCCTAACTCTTCCGACAAACCGTGCATAAGGGCATTTGCAAAACGGGATCCTGTGGCAGGCCGACACCGCAAACCCTTTTGCCAGTCACAAGATTCGTCACCTAATCCAAAAAGTGATTGGCTCTTAACATAAGGCTCTAACCGCTTTTGTGTTCAATGCACACACATCTCCTGGACAGGCGAGTTTGGGACAATGAATCGTTCTTGTTGAGGAGCCGCTAAATGAATGGAGATATTGGTGGATGTTAGCGTCGGAGTGGTAGACAATTTAAGCACACTTGGCCTTTAGAGCTCAATTTATGTGTGTACAAAAGCGACTTAAAAACTCACGTGCATTTGTGGCCTTTGCTTTCCGACAAGCAAGTTCTATTCTGAGTGACCATTCCGTTGAGTCCACAGGTTGCCGTGCATGGTGCCGTCGATTTCCAGCCACTCCAAATGCCAAGATTTGGGAAAGCACAATGTGCGAGGACTTCTGAAAGCATTTCTTTCAGATCTATCTTCAATGTATTACTTGTGATTCGACACTTTGGCATCACATAGTCACTCGGCAGAGTCACATTTCCACAGAGAACTTCCTTGAGTTTGGAGTTGGGGTACTGAAATGGCAAATTCTGTCTTTTTAGCTGTCTGGTAGAACTTTAGCCAATAAACGAAAAACTTACGAGTGAATATCCCTCAGCACAGGCATTCGAGTCATCAGGACATGGCTTCGGAGCACATGGTCTTGTTCGAGAATATGGTCCCCTGGAAAGATTTGAATGGTTGTTTTTAAACGTACACAAAATTGTTTAGTTACTCACTGGCATGGACATCCCCATTTCCATGTGAGACACGTCCTCTTTTGAACTTTTCTTCCGAATAAACCACACGTGCCTGTACAGCTTGTATAGTCTTCCCACCTTGACCAGTGGCCTGGAATTTGTTGCTTGATCACTTGTTGATGTTTTTGTTAAGTTTAAAAGATTTACCAGCTGCTGGACACTTTGAACAAATGGGGAGAGAGGCTAGCGTGGTGCTTGCTGAAAGATCACTATCATAACTGTGTTCATCTTGAGTTGTAATTTAGCTAGCTAAGGAGAATAATCAGAAGTTAACCTCAAGTTAAGCTGACAGCTGACATAGCTATTCTAAATCTCAAGTTACTTACACAAAGTCTGGTGTACTGCCTCAGTTCTCCAGTAACCTTTGAAATAAGAGTTACTTGCAAGTTACTTTCTTACTTGTTACAAGCTTTTCAGAACTGACGTTAGATTGCAAGTTGCATATTTAGATGACACTAGCTTACAATTATAGTGTCTTATTTATAAACAAACTGTTCACCGCAAAACCTACCATATAGCCCGATCACAGCACAGATGATGAGCATGTTGGAATGAGCAATAAGTTGATCGAGTGAATCTTGTCTAAGTGACTCTGATGACTGATCTACATGCCTTTGACGCCTTTCACCCCTTTTATAGATGAATTCGAAACGCATTTTGAACCTCAATAGCAAAATTTGATTCAAATCCAAAGTCCATTGAAAGGGACTACAATAGTCTGAAAAAGAGTCGATTTGGAAATTTGGTCGAAAGTGATCGATTTTCGATCACCGCTAATTTTGAAACTGGAAAATTTTGCTTCCGAGTCAGGACAATGACTTTTATAACAATGGAATCAAAAGGAACTCTGGATTTTGCGTGCGTGCAAAGGTGCACATTTTTTTGAAAACTACCGTAGCCAAACGATCAACGTCTGCTAAACAACAAAAAAGGCACAAGTACCTTATTTTCTGTAATAGTAGTGCAGGCAGGTGGCGGATAGACTCAATCTAAATCAGACGTCCGATTTAGACTCAATCTAAATCAGACGTCCGATTTAGATTTAGAGTCTAAATGCGACGTCTGATTTAGACTCAGTTGTTGTTTTATGTTTTACAGAAGTTTTCAGAATTTTTTTATCGGCTATGAATTGCAAACAAGTTTATTTTTAGAACAAACAACAAAAGATGCGAAAACAACAAGATTGAACAATACATAATCAACTTAAATTAGATTGCAACAACTGCAATTTTTTGTACAATGTTTCAAAAAACGAACTTTGATATCCCGTAGTAAATCTTAAGATGTTGACACATCAATCCAATGCGTGCTCGACACAACAAATGAGTCAGGTACACTCGATGGAGAAAGCGATGAGCGCGAGGAAAAGTGATAAGCGAGTTGCTCGGCACAACATCAGATTCAGGTATACTTTATTGCTTTGTTATTGTTAATAGATTCTTTAATTACATGGTACTTGGTTTTTCTTTAAGTTAGGTTCTTAAGTTGCATACTTGGTAAAAGTTGTATATTGCCAGGAACGAGAGCTATGTTTGATGCGAAATTCCAGCACTATCTAGCTGAGAAGAAAACTGGTCAAATTCCGACAAAGGAGATCTACAACTTGATGGTGGATCGCATCAAAAAACATGAAAACCAAGAAGAGGTGAAAGCGACCGATGGAGTAAACCGTCACCAGGAAGCAAATCTGTTGAAGAGATATATCGTATCGATTGAGAGTGAAAAATCAGTTCTATATCATGAAGGTGAACAAACAGCAAAGCGCAAAACAGAAGTGAAGCCACAAAAAGTTGTCTATCAAGAAGAACTTTATGAAATCCTTCAGCAAACACACCTCTGTTAAGCTGGCATTGGATTGATGTGGCCACATCTTAAGATTTACTACGGGATATCAAAGTTCGTTTTTGAAACATTGTACAAAAAATTGCAGTTGTTGCAGTCTAATTTAAGTTGATTATGTATTGTTCAATCTTGTTGTTTTCGCATCTTTTGTTGTTTGTTCTAAAAATAAACTTGTTTGCAATTCATAACCGATAAAAAAATTCTGAAAACTTCTGTAAAACATAAAACAACAACTGAGTCTAAATCAGACGTCGCATTTAGACTCAAAATCTAAATCGGACGCCTGATTTAGATTGAGTCTATCCGCCACCTGCCTGCACTACTATTACAGAAAATAAGGTACTTGTGCCTTTTTTGTTGTTTAGTAGACGTTGATCGTTTGGCTACGGTAGTTTTGAAAAAATGTGCACCTTTGCACGCACGCAAAATCCAGAGTTCCTTTTGATCCCATTGTTATAAAAGTCTTTCATAAGATCCATTGCCTGCGTGAGTTCAAACAATGTCCCAGACCATTTGACAGTCTGTAGAAGCTTCCACGATGAAAAATCTCGTTCCTGGTCCATCCTGGCGCTGAAATTAAAATATTCGGGCTGAATTTAAAAAAACCAAGAGTTCCTTTTGATTCCATTGTTATAAAAGTCATTGTCCTGACTCGGAAGCAAAATTTTCCAGTTTCAAAATTAGCGGTGATCGAAAATCGATCACCTCGACTCTTTTCAGACTATTGTAGTCCCTTTCAATGGACTTTGAAGTTGAATCAAATTTTGCTATTGAGGTTCAAAATGCGTTTCGAATTCATCTATAAAAGGGGTGAAAGGCGTCAAAGGCATGTAGATCAGCCACCAGAGTCACTTAGACAAGAGTCACTCGAACAACTTATTGCTCATTCCAACATGCTCATCATCTGTGCTGTGATCGGGCTATATGGTAGGTTTTGGGGTGAACAGCTTGTTTATAAATATAAGACACTATAATTGTAAGCTCGTGTCACTAAATATGCAACTTGTAATCTATCGTCAGTTCTGTAACAGTACACCAGACTTTGTGTAAGTAACTTGAGATTTAGAATAGCTATGTCAGCTTAACTTGAACTTAACTTCTCATTATTCACCTTAGCTAGCTAAATTACAACTCAAGATGAACACAGTTATGATAGTGATCTTTCAGCAAGCACCGCGCTAGCCTCTCTCCCCATTTGTTCAAAGTGTCCAGCAGCTGGTAAATTTTTTTAAACTTAACAAAAACATCAACGTCAACAAGTGATCAAGCAACAAATTCCAGGCCACTGGTCAAGGTGGGAAGACTATACAAGCTGTACAGGCACGTGTGGTTTATTCGGAAGAAAAGTTCAAAAGAGGACGTGTCTCACATGGAAATGGGGATGTCCATGCCAGTGAGTAACTGAACAATACAAAATTGTTTCAGTACCTTTAAAAAACAACCATTCAAATCTTTCCAGGGGACCATATTCTCGAACAAGACCATGTGCTCCGAAGCCATGTCCTGATGACTCGAATGCCTGTGCTGAGGGATATTCACTCGTAAGTTTTTCGTTTATTGGCTAAAGTTCTACCAGACAGCTAAAAAGACAGAATTTGCCATTTCAGTACCCCAACTCCAAACTCAAGGAAGTTCTCTGTGGAAATGTGACTCTGCCGAGTGACTATGTGATGCCAAAGTGTCGAATCACAAGTAATACATTGAAGATAGATCTGAAAGAAATGCTTTCAGAAGTCCTCGCAAATTGTGCTTTCCCAAATCTTGGCATTTGGAGTGGCTGGAAATCGACGGCACCATGCACGGCAACCTGTGGACTCAACGGAATGGTCACTCAGAATAGAACTTGCTTGTCGGAAAGCAAAGGCCACAAATGCACGTGAGTTTTTAAGTCGCTTTTGTACACACATAAACTTTGAATCGAACAGAAGAAATTTGAGCTCTAAAAGTGAAGTGTGTTTAAATTGTCTACCACGCCGACTCTAACATCCACCAATATCTCCATTCATTTAGCGGCTCCTCAACAAGAACGATTCATTGTCCCAAACTCGCCTGTCCAGGAGATGTGTGTGCATTGGATACGAAAGCGGTTAGAGCCTTATGTTAAGAGCCAATCACTTTTTGGATTAGGTGACGAATCTTGTGACTGGCAAAAGGGTTTGCGGTGTCGGCCTGCCACAGGATCCCGTTTTGCAAATGCCCTTATGCACGGTTTGTCGGAAGAGTTAGGGGAAACATTTGAAAGCATCCGAGTTCTATGGTTACACATACTTACAACTTGCAAGTACACTGTTTACTTTTCCCCATTAAACTAACCTACACTATTTTGTAGCTAATGAACTATTTAAGACAACAACCAAAAAAGGCTACCACAAAGCCCACAACGAAGACAACGAAGAAGCCGACCACAACGACAACGACAAAGAAAACGACAACGACAAAGAAAACGACGACATCGACAACAACCACAACTACGACCACAACGACACCAGCGCTACCATGTGTCACAACTTCGGTAAACGTTGAGAACATAGGCAATTAGGTTTTTATGTTTGACACAATAAATGAGGTTGCTTAAGTAGCTTCTCAAGAATGGTTCTAGCCTATTTTAAAGCAAAAGGATCAACATCTCCAGGTACCCACCACAACCTATGCCGATTGTGCAGCTGTTGGTGGTGGCTTCATTGATGTCGGTGGATCGTGTTATCAAGCAATCTTCATCAATGACTCTTACATTGGTGGAGCTAGAGCCAAATGTCAGGCATTGAATCCCAATGCTGACTTGGGCACGATTCGATGTGATTCGGAGAATACAGGAGTTGCCAGTTAGTGATTGAGTGGTGATTGTTTTCAAAATAGGTCTTAGATCTTGTACCAGCTGATTTGAAGACTCAATGTTCAACGTTTGGAAATTTCTTCTATAGTGTGAGTTGTCCTGAAAATTTCTTTTTAACTTTGAGCTTTAGCAAATGTTATTGGGGATTAACAATGTGACAACGACGAGTGGGATTGCCTGGTCAAATGGTGCCAACTCGACTTATCGGTTTTGTACATTTTCCGTGTTTTTATCCGGCGTTTTCAGAAACTGGGCCCCAGGAGAGCCAAACGGAAACAGTCCAGCAGAAACAGATGCAGCCAGCAGTGCAACGGTATCGCCACTAATACTTTTCTAAAGGACTTTAACTGTACCAAAGTAATGAACTAGCACTTGTATTTGCTCTGCTCTGATCAAAATCTTTCTTTCAGCTCTACATTGCGTCCACAGATCCAGCTGGTGGCACGTATCCGCTGGGACAATGGGAAAACATGCTACCATCTTGGGTGGTTTGTGCGGCTGTCTGTGAAGTGATCACGGTAAGTTCTTGAAAAGAAAAAGAAAGAGAAAAACTGCCCGTTGACAACTGCATTGAAAAGCTGTTGATTCTAGGCAAAAACCGGAAATGGTTGTGGCTTCTCACCGTGCCAGAATCTTCCGTAAGATTCAATAATAAACTCTTCTTAAATATGTGCTAATAAATTGTTTTTCCACTTTTTCTTTACAACTTTTTGTGCATTTATTTGACAGATTAATTTAAACCTTTATACATTTTGACGACGCACACTTATAGAGATCTAGTTTTCCCTCTGTTGGAAGGTAATATTTTCATCTGATCCGATCCCACTGAATTGTCCAGCCACGAAATCTGAAAACAAAAGGGTTTAAAGAATAACACACTCTAGTGGAAACTTGAAGCTACAGTACTTGGAGCAGAATTAGCAATCTAAATTCTAGAATGCATTTCTCATCTCACTCATAAATCTCACTTTTTCTTATGAACTCCAGTCCGTAAGCGCTGTTTGGCACTTGTATCATGTCCAATCGGAACGAACTCCGAAATCAGTTCCAAGTTTTGCTTCTTTTCATTCAAATCTGAAAACAACTCGCAAAAGTCTTTGTAGCTTTTGAATTCATAAAGACTCTTGGATCAAATAATTGCTTCATAGTACTTTGAAACGCTGATTAGTTCCTCATCACTTACCTAGAGGCTTCTGCTCTCGTTGTCGTTTTTCGAATAAACAGCTTTCCTTTCAATGTTTGACTCAAACTTTTGACAAAATTTCGAGAGCTTGCGCTGTTCTTTGATTACTAGTGGGCCAACCAGAGGATTTGCGTAATTAGATCTTTCAAAAAAATGTAGAAGTCTTGCTTTAGCTCTCGTAATATGTTTTGGGGCTAATTTTACAGGGTGAGTGCAGGAATTTTCTATGGCAAGGAGGATTTTAGAACAGAGAAAATTATAGTCATCATCTATAGAATTTGTCCTAGAGCAGAAAGAGCTCCCTCTAAGGGAGTTTAAGAAGGAAAGAGCCGCTTGGTCGGGATTAAAATCAAAATGCACGCAACCTTTCAAGGTCCGCAAGGAGTCGTACCTTCCGCAAGGAGTCGAAAATTGCGGTCTTCCAATTTTGAACGTGATCCCATAATGGTCAGATCCAGGAAGAGGCTCCAATCGCCTCAGCTCCATGATGGTATCAGGGGAATCAGACAAGACCAGACCTAAAATAGAAAATGAACGGCAGAAGGTAGCATGTGTTTAAAATAAATAGAGAGCATAAAGAAATTTTGTAGCAAAATGGTGGGATGGTGGTACTTATCGAACACAAATTTGTCATTGGCATAAGTCACATGAAAATTTAAATCGCCTAGTAAAATGTTGACTTCTGAATCGTGCAAGAAAAGTGATAAATGATCAAAAAGACGAGAAGTATCAGCATAATTCACGCTAGGGGGCCGATAAACGACAAGAAAACGAACCTTTCTGCCAAGATAAACATCTACAATTATAATTCCACAGTTAAAGATGGAAATGCAGTAAATTACATGGTGGGTAAAAGACTTAAGGAGCAAAAACACAACCGCGCCATCATGCGATTTGGTGGAAGAAGCTCTATCACATCTAATAATATGGTAAGAGTCACAAGAATAGAGGAAACTAGAGAGTCGTCTAGCCATGTCTCGGTAATAGCAAGAAAAGAATAAGATTTTGTACGAGTCATGGTCTGGAAAGTAGCTAAGCGTTTTTTGCTATTAGAAACTATGCTATGGGCAATGGCAAGAAAAACACTAGGGGAAAAGAGAGCATCAAACTTGGGAAAGCGATCCGGGTAATTTCTCCTCTGTAGAATGCAAGATTGACTGATTGACTTTGTTGTTTGAGGAGTTTCTTCCCAATCCTCCGTTCCGATGGGTGAGTGAAAAAGGCACCCTCATCGTTTTCCGTTTCATCTCGAAAATTCTTTGCTAATGGTTCGTTCACATCGGACAAGGAGCGTGCTTTGCGCAACCCAGGCGGGTCAATCTTCGTGGAGTTAATCCTCTTTGGAGGTCGGCCCTTCTTGACTGGAGACAGCCTTTGTAGAGGCTGTCGGCATGCTTTCCCTTGTCGTATCCTTTTGCGCAGCCATGCCAACAGTCATTTCGGAAGCAGTCACATTGACACCAGCACATGCAGGGCTCCAACCTGGCCCTGAGGTGCACTCCTTGTCTTATTCACGTCGAGGTGTGAAAGGGGAGCATGTTGAGTTGAAGGAAATGTCTCCTGCCTCTTGCTTTTGTAGCGACTTGGGTCCGAGGTCCGTTTAAAACTTGGGACTTGGGTCCGTTTAAAATAAACTTTCGAGTTCAATGCTTGGTCATAGCTAAAAGTAGAGTAAAAATGCTCAAAAATACTTGTGTCAACTTTTTATAGCCTCTCGGAAAGGTTCCTAAATTTGTGTTTGAAAGTTGCCACCCAGGAGCCGCCAAGACTTTTGTCCATGACTGTATTGTAGAATTCGAACCTTACAATGTGCTACAGTACCTGGTTTTCGTAGTAAAACATTTAGAAATCTTCATTGCCCATTGAATTCTATTTTTCAGATCGACAGCATTGGGCATGGAAAAACCGTTTCGGGAGCAAAATCAAGCAGTTAACTAATGCTGATTTGAAAGGATATGGCGCTACAGGCAAGGCAAAGGTCTCATCAGCTCCACATGCTAATTTGGATGATCTGAAAGCCACCCTTATCAAGGAATGGGCAAAAATCCCCGTTGAGACTCTCCGTGCCGCGGTCGACGATGTGCCGAAGCGACTTAGGGCTTGCATGAAGGAAAAAGGAGGAAACTTTGAGATTTAACTGTTTTTATTTTGTTATTTGGACTGTTGTTGTTATTTTCAGTAAAATTCTATAAAGCTTTTCTGCTAATTTTCTGAAGACCAGTCGGTCTTTTCATCGCCGGATATTTTGGCCGCACCCTGTACTTTAGAGAAGAATAATCCAGTGATCAATCCGGAAATTTTGATGGTTAGTCCGTCTACCTGCATGCAGTGTATTGATGAAGGCCTAATCAGCGACCTAAATTTTCAGGAAAAATCAGGAGGTGAGAAATAATTTAACTATTGAAATCTATATTGTCTATTGTTTCGTTGAAAGTTGATCAATTTCAGCGATGAATTCGTTAGCGGAAGCTCGGCGACACGGGAGAATAAAAAGATGAAAGCAAAGGCTCGATTTGGATTTGGATTTGGATTTGAAGACTTTGAGGATACGGTATCGAAAAGTGACGCCCAAGTAGGCTAAAAAAGGCAGATGTTTTCACTTTTTTGTACTCGGATACTGTAAAGAAATATTCTTTGCGTGCTTGGTACTCTTCACTCAAGACACGTTATTTCTTGTTTCGAGACATCTGCTCTCACGAGAATTAAGACACTTTATTCAATAGCCGACTGACTCGGAATCTTTGGGCTCTCACTTGAGCAATTTTCACACAAAATCGACAATCGAGTTAAAAGCGACGATAAAAACAGAAACAATTTCGTCCTAATTAGGACACAGCTTTCACACCATGAAAGGAAAAAAGGAAAAATAAAAGATAACAAAAGCAAATGAACAACAGTTGCCTTATATAGGCTTTGACTCAAGATACTCAGCTAACAAGCTACAAAACAATAAATGATTTGGGGCGCGAAATAGAATGAAGGCGCACCGATTTCCTCAATATTTTTCCAATTTTTAGGCTGCCAGAGTTAGGTAACTTTTTAGTGGCTATTCGCCACACTCCGAACTCCAAAATGATTCAGAGTTTACTCTGGATTCTCCCCGCAACGCAAAATGTGAAGCGGAAACTTGTTCTGCGACAATCTTAACAGAGAAAGTTTAAGTTTTTTGAGGAAACCTTGTACATCAGGAATTTTGTAGGGAGGAATTTAAATCTTGAAAAAGAGCAAATTTTTGAACGAGGAGTAGGGGAAGGGAAAACACAACAACTAATATTTGGATGAAGACTGGCCTTTGATCATTTTGATTCCAAGTTTCTCACAGAAAGTCACGTGATGTCGACCGCTGCAATTTGTTGCATGGTCCCGGATGTTCTTTTAGGCAGTTTTTCGAAATTTGGCATATTCTGTTCATTGATGCAATCCTCATTCTGTCAAAATATTCAATCTTCATTGAACACTTGACTATATCTTTGCATGTTTTGGCTCCACAGAATATGCAATCTTTTTTAACATGACGTTGTGTGTTGGCTGTCGTCACTTTTCACTTCGTGGGTGGTTCATCTCCATCGTTCAAGTCTTCAATCAGCTCTCTCTTCAGCTTATTGAGCTTTTGGTTGATCGTTCCTCAATGGTCTGCTTCCATTCGACGAACATCTCCCTCAAGTCATCTTTGATTGAAGCCGATGTGGCAAGAGTCTCCGTGAAAATCGCGTTCGATAGCTTCTCCGTTGTTTCGTTGATCATCGACGTGATTCCCAAAAACTTCTCCTCCATCTTCTCCATCAATTGCTTCACCTCGGACGTAGTGGTGCTCTCTATCGTGGTGTCTTCGATTTTGGCTGACATGTCCCTGTAATTTGAACATTTAAATGTTGTTTAAAAAAGAAATCTTGTTGAAAGAGAAATTTTAAGAAAGGGGGAAACTTGATACAAATAACGTCCGACGGGTTAATGATTTTGATTTAAATTTTTCAATATTAAATTCACAAGGTGTGCTTCGAAAAATATACAATTTGTTACGGAAGTGCGAGCTTTGTTGCTTTGTCGAAATGCTCAGAAATTGTCATCTGGCGCTTTCCGATAATTTACTTTGCCTTTTGCGGCTCTTGGCGTACTGTTGCGTAGTGTTGCTTTTTTCGACGTAATTTCGCACGGTTTTTCAAAATTTTCTTCAGCGCGAATTTCTAGTGGTATCAACAAATTGATTGATCTTTCAATTTGCTTATTATTGCCTCTTTTGACAATAGCACTTCGAATTTTTCCATCTGCGCCTGTCATTAAGCGTATAATTTTGCCTTTTGCGTAAGAACCTCTTTTTACGTCTTCCTTCATTATCAGTACAATTTCGCCAACTTGAATAGCTACTTTTGATTCTCGCTTACTTGCGTGTCGTTTGCCACTTTCTCGTAATGAGTGCATGTAGCTGTTATGGAATGTTTTCCATACCAAGTTGAGG